AGCAGCTGTAACCTTACTTGTGCTTCTGTGTGCATCCCTTTTTCTTTTGGTATAATATATATTCAATGATATATACTCTTGGTATAATATATTCTCAATAGTATGAAATGACTATAAACCCCCACTATTCTCTTTTCAATTATTTTTTAAATATTTATTTATTTATTATGTATACAATATTCTGTCTGCATGTATTCCTGCAGGCCAGAAGAGGGCACCAGATCTCATTACAGATGGTTGTGAGCCACCATGTGGTTGCTGGGAATTGAATTCAGGACGTTTGGAAGAATAGGCAATGCTCTTAACCACTGAGCCATCTCTCCAGCCCTTCATTATATTTTTAAATCTGGAAATTTGTTGTCATATAAAAGTCATCCTAATTATCCAGAAAAAATATTTTTCCTTTCTCCAGTTTATAAAAATAAGGGACTAAATTTTTTTTCTTTTTGATTTTTGAGACAGGGTTTCTCTGCAGCTTTTGGTTCCTGTCCTGGAACTAGCTCTTGTAGACCAGGCTGGCCTCGAACTCACAGAGATCCGCCTGCCTCTGCCTCCCGAGTGCTGGGATTAAAGGCGTGTGCCACCACCACCTGGCTACGGACTAAATTTTTATCTCCCCTTTCATGGGCTTTCTTTACATTAGGTCCTATGTATATAAAGTTGTAGAGCTATAGCTCTGAATTACTTTGTTTTTGTGTATATTAACAAACGTTTCAGTAATTGTACAGAATGCTCTGTGGGAAAGGACTGAGGAGAATCCAGGCTGATCCCACTCTTTCACTTAAGGTCTCAAACCCTTTTGAGTGAGAGGCTCAAGCTTTCTGCGTCTCTATATCTATTCAAAGAAACCTTTTCTTACCTTCCCCTGAGGTTGTATGCCCCACACTGGGGGCCAGTTCCAGGAGTCCCTACAGGCATCATGGCAGGCAGGGAACTGAACTTTAAAGAGGTGAGAATGGAAACTGTCCAGTACAACTTAGTCAGACTAGATCTCATGGAGCGTCAGATGCCAGGGATTTTATTGGCAGCATATTTAAACACAGTATAATTTGGGAAAAAAGTTTCCTGATGTAATACAATCCCCAGTTTGCAAGGAGACATGCTTACCTTGAAACTCAACTCTAAGTGTGTGTCATTTCTTCCAAGGTGTGTTCTAGAGATAGGCTACATGCATTTATCCTAAGGGCCCGGGGAAGGATATGGCTTGGTGTAGTAGGAGCTGCGGGCTGTGTTCCACCCAGCTCCCAGCCGCCTGGCTAGCTTATTCCCCGAAATAACAACACACAAACTGTATTCATTTAAACACTGCTTGGCCCATTATATCTAGCCTCTTCTCGGCTAACTCTCGCACCTGGACTAGCCCATTTCTAATAATCTGTGTAGCCCACGAGGTGGCTTACCAGGGAAGATCTTAACCTACGTCTATCCTAGTTGGAGCTTCATCGCGTCTGCCCCAGAGAGGAGAGCATGGCATCCGAGCTCACTTCCTCTTCCTCCCAGCATTCTGTTCTGTTTACTCCACCCACCTATGTTCTAACCTATGAGGGCCAAGCAGTTTCTTTATTTTTTAACCAATGACCTTCCTCCATCAGCTCGGAAAGGATATCAGTCGTAGGATAGATAGCATAGATGTCATTTAAGCTAATTGCCACCTACAGTCCTGGTCATAGGTGCTTGACATGGCCTGGTCCTCCATATAACACAGATCACCAGGCTGTTAATCACTTCCAATTCCCAACCTTCTGGATGGAAATAAGGTTGCATGCCCTTTCCTTTGAGAGGACAATCATGTGTGCTTAATATTTCTGGTTTCCCTGGTGGCCTGGGGCACAACGACCTTCACACTCGTTCATATATGCAGCTGCATTGCTGTGTCCAGAAAACACTTTTCTAGAAGGGTCAAATAACTTATATTGTACTGTTTAGTTTATCAGGAGAAAATGAAAATATATGACTATTTTACCTTTATGTTTATGTGGTGACTGCTCAGGACATCCTGAAACGTTGTTATTTCAGGATAACTTGGGATACAAGACAAATTAATAGAGGTCATGAAAGTTTTGCCATGATTACAGACGGAAGACAAGTGAAAGAAGGAATTAGCTGACAGGAAGCCCAGTTATCAACAGCCTTTGGGGTCCAGCTCCAAGGTCCTCTTCAGGGTTCAGATTGGATGCCCCAGCAAGTGAAAGGAACTCATTTATTTCTTAGGGTAACCAAGGGTGAATGAACTTTCTCACACATGTGCTTTTCTGAACAACAGTCTTTACTCTTCTGCCTCTGTTCTAATTTCCTGTCCTAATTATAATTACTCCTGGCTTCTTCTCTTTTTAGCCTCCAAACTTTTTTCTCCTATAGGAGGCTTGGAGTGATAATAAAAAATTATAAGAGTTACCTCTCATTAGTCAAAAGCACATTACTAGGGTAAGCGAATAAGGAACTGAGTCATTTACCATGGCAACACAAGGATTTCAAGGTTTTGGGAGTAAGACCGTGACCAGACTGGAGGGGGACACTGTTTCCAGTGACAAACTTTGAGGCATAGGTCTCTTGTCAGCAGACTGCTAAGCGAAGAATTGGCATGCTTTTCTTAGGGTGCTTTGTGTAGCAACTTTGGTTGGACACCTGTAATTCTGATCTGTGCATAGCTGTAAAGTTTTAAACTCATGATCTATTTGCAAAAATCCTTTAGTCTAGTTTGCACTTGCTCTGAGGTGAAAGTGAGCTAATTGTGTGCAGTTAGTCTGAACAAAAGAACAAAGCATGCTTTTAAGTGTCTACAGCCTCGTGGGACAAATAGATCCAGTTATGAAGCATGCCCAAGTATATTTTCTTTTTATCAATATTATATAAATAAATAAAAAGTCATCTTTATGAACACTCACAGATATATGTGCCCATAAGATTGAGATGTAATCATGAGATTACATATGCACATCACATGAGATTGTATACTATAATGTATAATTATATACAGGTACTGGAGAGACACCAAACTGTCTTAGCAAATGTGAACAACAGTCTCCAGAGTTGGTGGTCCTGCAGGCCTTGCCAGGACAGGATTACGCTCCATCAGAGTCTCTCATCTGATGGGTTGACATCTGAATTATCAATTGCTGTATGCTGTATATTTTCCATGGTTTCTAACATACAGTAACATATTTGAACAATCTAAGTGGTTTTTTTTTTTTTTTTTTGGTTTTCTGTGGCTTTGGAGCCTGTCCTGGCACTAGCTCTGTAGACCAGGCTGGTCTCGAACTCCCAGAGATCCGCCTGCCTCTGCCTCCCGAGTGCTGGGATTAAAGGCGTGCGCCACCATCGCCCGACTTCAATCTAAGTGTTTGCATGAGCTAAAGAATATCTTCAATATCATGAAATCTCATTACTTTGTGAAATTATGAAAAGAATCATGTTTATATTTGAGTTTTACAATTTTCAAATGCACACATAAGTGTAAGGCATTTGAAAATGTAATTATAAACATACTTTATTTTCAGTTTACCAAAGAAGAGCAAAGCATCACAGTGATTTTTCAGTTTAAGTTTTGTCTTTTGGATTCCATGTCTTTTGAGTTTTCTTTAATATAATTCTAAAGCTGTTTTTAATCTGTCCTGCTGTCTTGCTTGATAGCGTTTCTACAAGAAAGCAGCTGCCTTTGTGCTGAGAGCAGTTGGTAAACATTCCCCGCAGCTGGCCCAGGCTATAGTCGACTGTGGAGCTCTGGACACACTGGTGATATGCTTGGAGGACTTTGACCCTGGAGTCAAGGAGGCCGCAGCCTGGGCACTTGGATATATTGCAAGACACAATACAGGTAATGGAGCACATTTAAAAATAGGGTAACTCCAAATTTATTACATAAATCCAGTTTTAATAAATAGTTGATTGAGTTTTAGGGTGATTGAGTACATGATAAATCAGGTTTTGAGTGTTAGTCCAGCTATTTAGAGCACATGCCCACAACATGCTTATACATAATAGTCTTACAAGAAAAAAAATGAAGGAAAGGGTGGTGTAAGGAAAGAGACTGTTCTCAAAGGTTTCGGTAGCCAGTTATGTGAGTGGTGGCACCAGAATCTGGGTTTAGTTCTGACTGCCAAGTTCATGTTACTATCTACTTTCTGAGAATACTGAAACTAGCAGTACCAGTAAATATAAATATTAGTAAATGTAAATATGAATATAAGAAAATTAAGAATATTATTGTCTTCCTTAGAAGGATTTAAAATTAATATATTAAAATTCATTGCATAGTAGTCCTCATTGTCCGCTATGTTCAGCGAGTCCGGTTTTATCCCATGCTTTTTCAGACCCAGGCCAGCTGGCCTTGGTGAGTTCCCGATAGAACATCCCCATTGTCTCAGTGTGTGGGTGCACTCCTTGCGGTCCTGAGTTCCTTGCTCGTGCTCTCTCTCCTTCTGCTCCTGATTTGGACCTTGAGGTTTCAGTCCGGTGCTCCAATGTGGGTCTGTGTCTCTGTCTCCTTTCATTGCCTGATGAAGGTTATTATTCAGGAGGATGTCTATATGATTTTCTTTGGGTTCTCCTTCTTATTTAACTTCTGACTACTGAGAACTCAAGAACAATGGCAATTTTTTTTTTTTTTTGGTTTTTTGAGACAGGGTTTCTCTGTGGTTTTGGAGCCTGTCCTGGAACTCGCTCTTGTAGACCAGGCTGGTCTCGAACTCCTACTGCACCTATTGGTTTTGTGGGAGCCTAGGCAGTTTGGATACTCACCTTACTAGACCTGGATGGAGGTGGGTGGTCCTTGGACTTCCCACAGGGCAGGGAACCCTGATTGCTCTTTGGGCTGATGGGGGAGGCGGACTTGATTGGGGGAGGGAGAGGGAAATGGGAGGCGGTGACGGGGAGGAGGCAGAAATCTTTAATAAATAAATAAAATAAAAAAATAAAATTCATTGCAAAATTTGTAGAGCAGCAAGCAGTTCTTTGTTTTTCTTTCTTCTTTCTTTCTTTTTGTTTTGATTTTCAAGATTTTTAAGATAGGGTTTCTGTGTAGCACTGGCTGCCCTGTAACTCACTCTGTAGATCAGGCTGGCTTTGAACTCACAGAGATAAACCATTCTGTGCCTCCCAAGTGCTGGGATTAAAGGCATGTGTCACCATGCCCAGCTTAGAATAATGGTTCTTAACCTCTGGGTTACAACCTATTTGGGGGTCAAACTACCCTTTCACAGTGGTCCCATACCAGATATATTGCATATCAGATATTTACGTTATGATTCATAACAGTAGCAAAATTACAGTTATGCAGTAGCAACAAAACCTCTAGAGTTTGGTTTCCTAATAGGTTCACTTAAGCCTGTTATTTAGTACTCATTGGGAAAGTAAGCAGTACTTTTCTTTTTTAACTCGCATATGTTAATGATACGTAATAATAGGCTTCATTATGACATTTTCTTACACACACACACACACACACGCACACACACACACACGCACACACACACACGCACACACACACACACACACGCACACACACGCACACACACACACACGCGCACACACACACGCACACACACACGCACACACACACACACACGCACACGCACACAGAGTGTATTTTCTCCCCCTAAACTCTATTATTCTCTCTGTTCTGCCTCCTGCTAATTCTTTTCCTTTTCCTAGCCCTCTGTCTTCATTAGGGTTACTATCGCTGTGATGAAACTCCATGACCAAAGCAACTTGGGGAGGAAAGGGTTTATTCAGTTTATGCCTTTACATCACAGTTTATTATAAAAGGAAGTCAGGATAGAAACTCAAGCAGGGCAGGAACCTGGAGGCAGGAGCTGATACAGAGGCCGTGGAAGAGTGCTGCCTACTGGCTTGCTCCTCATGACTTGCTCAGCTCATCTTGTTGCAGTCAGGAGCACCAGCCCAGGGTGGTACCACCCACAATTGACGTGGCCCTTCCCCATCAGTCACTAATTAGGAAAATGCCCTCTAGGCCTGCCTACATCCTGGTATTATGCAGGCATTTTCTTATTTGAGATTCCTTCCTCTCTGATGACTTTAGTTTGTGTCATGTTGACATAAAACTGCCCAGCACATCCTCCTTTTCTTCTTATGTCATGTTATTTTATATTTTTGTTTACCCAGTGAGTTTTATTGGGGTTGAGAATTTGATACATGACTATGTAGTATTACATCATTTCTGTCCCTCCCTCTCCTTTCTCCAAGTCCTCTTATGTCCTCACTCTCACCTCTTCCCAAATTCATGCACTAGTTTATAATTATATATTAATATATTGTATATATTAATACATATACATTATTTCTTATAATCCTTAATTGCATTTATCTTTAATTATATTGTAATGATTATATTATATAATTTTATAATATTTATATATTACATACACATTTATGTATAAATATATTTATATTACACAGTGTAACATGATTATAATATTCATTAATTTTAACATAATATAATACACAATATTAATATAATAACAACAAACTAGTAATACATAATATAAATATTACATTTAATACATAAAATATATTATAATATATAAATAGTTATATATAATGCAATAACTATAATTATATTTTATTAATTATAAATATCACATTAAATATTGATTTTAACAATTACTATATATTACTATATACAATATATGACTGTATATTATATAAATTTATATGTTAATAGTATATAATTATATATTAACAAATATGAATATTAATATATAGTATAGTCTACTGAGTGCCATTAGTTTTATGCGCATTAGCATTTGTTTAGGGTTGACTATTTAGAATTGGGAGTTAGTCCCTGAAGACAACTGGCACTCCTTCCTTCACACCCACCAAAAGCCTGCAGTTTATAATCTAGGGTGGGCTTTGAGAAACTTTCTCCATTCCTGTTGGCAATGCTAACTGCTGTGGCCTTTGCAGGTCTTGTTGAGAGTTCATGGACCCAGCATCCCTGTCCTGTCCAGCAGACACTGTCTTGTAGCAGTCATCTGCTCCTCAGGCCCTTAAAGTCTGTTTCCCTGCTCATCTGTCATGTTCCCTGAGCCTTAGGTGTAAGAGTTGTGTTATAGATGTCTCACATGGGTCTGGGTATTCCATGGCCACTTACCCTCTGCATTTTGACCAGCTGTGAATCTCTCTAGTAGAATCTTCAAAAAGAAGCCACCCTGATGAGGGAATGAGAGTTGCAGTGATCTATGGGTATAAAGATAAGTATTCAGAAGATAGAATTTAGGAACATGGTAGTAGTATGTTCTCATATCTCCATCTTTGGGTTCTTGGCTAGGTTTGCAACACCAGGCATGTGCTCCCTTTCCTCCCTCTAGCTGCCCCCCCCCCCCATATAACCCTCCTTGCTCTCTTTCAAATTCATGGCCTCTTTTCTCATTAATTATTGTTACATACAGATATGTATATCCATATATATTTAAAAAAAAGTAAGCATGCCCTGTTCAGTCTGTATAATGTCCTTTGTATATATGTCAGACCTGACTATTTTGTACTGGATCACCAGTTTGTGTGCTCTTCCCCGAGAAAGACTATTTCTTTGGATCCTTGTGTTGCTTAGTTGCCTGTAATTCTTTGTGTAGGGTCGAGTCCTTGTGAAGGTCCCTCATCTCCCTTAGCATATCTGTTGTTGTCTTTCTTTAGATTTGGGAAGTTTTCTTCTATGATTTTGTTCAGGGAATACCCGTGTTTTTGTGATATAGCCCATTGGAGTTACAATGTTTGTAGTGGTTCCTTGTGTGACTTACGGGTCTCAACATTGTTGCATGTGTTTAGTTCTTTGCTGTTACCACAGTCTTGTCAGGATGTGGACCAGAAGAATGATGTTTGCTTTTCAGTCTCAGGGGCCACACTAGGTTTTGAGGGTTCAGACTCCCAGCAGTCCCAGATAAGCATAGTTAACGAGGTGGGGGAAATTGACTGACTGGAGGTGTCTTAAGTAGAGTTTGGGGGTCTGGCTCCATGGGAATCAGCATTGGCAGAAATATGGGTCAGTTCCACATGTGATGGTGTGTCCCAAGGGAATAGAGATGGGATGAGAGGGCAGGCCAGGATAGTAGCTGGTCCAGGGTTACCCTAGAGACGCCAGATGGGTTCCTGCCAATTATGGTGGCCATAATATCCCTGGAAGAGCTTGGGACTGGAGTTGGTGGACACTCAAAAAGGAATCACTGTTTTTCTTTAATTTCTTTTTTTAAATCTTGGAGATGTTGCAGTACACACAGCATAGAAGTCACAGGATTATGTAATATGTGTCACGTCTACTTGATCTTGAGATGTATTTCTCCCAATTCCTTTCTAACTAGCTATGTTTTAGTGAAGAAAAATAAAGTAAAATAAATTTCTTATCTATGTTTCTTGGCTCTGGTTTCAGGGTCAGGGTGTGTTTCTTTGGCTGGCCCTTTTACCCTACCCTCCCTCATCTTTAATTCCTAGTATATAATATGGAGTGGCCACAGAAATCACAGGCCTGAGCGGGGAATAGTAGGATACAGGGGCCGTGGAGCACCTGCTCTGGACTTTGTTTACTCAGTCTAGTTTTAGCTGTTGAGGCTGGAGGAAGGGCTCAGGGGGGAAAGGGGCTCTGCTGCCAGGGCTGATGACCTAATTTCAGGTAGACCCAAATCTTGAAAGTTGTTCTCTGACCTCTACAAGTGTGCACATTGTCCTGGCACCTGTAATAGTATACACGCACACACATACACACGCACGTACGCACAAACACATTCCAAACAACAACAAAACATGGTTTCAAGAATTAAAAGTGGAAAGACTGTCATTTTTTCTATCCAGAAATCCTTCCACAGGTGACTTAAGAAAACATACTTTTTGTATTTTTCTTTCATTTTACATACAAACCATAGTTCCTCCTTCCTCTTCCTCTTCCTCCCTTCCTCCCCTCCCCCTAGCCCACCCCATCCACTTCTCTAAAAGAGTAAGGCCTCCCATGGGGAATCAACAAAGCTTGGCACATTCACTTGAGGCAGGCCCAAGGCCCCCTCCCCTGCATCAAGGCTGAGCAAGGCATCCCACCATATGGACTGTGCTTCAAAAAGGAAAGAGATATCTTGATAGAGGGAGTCATTATAGGACTAGGGAGAAACCTGATGCTAGGGAAATTCCCAGGAGGCCACAAGGATGACCCTAGCTAGGACCCTAGCAATAGTGGAGAGGGTGCCTAAAATGACCTTGCCCTGTATCCAGTAACTGATGGAAGCAGATGCAGAGATCCACAGCCAAGCACCAGGGGGAGCAGTTAAGCTTGATCACCAGAACCCACATAGTCAAAGCAGAGAAGTGATTTACAAGCTTTCACCTGACCTCCACAGGTCTTTCATGGCACAAGCACGCACACTGAATAAATGTTAAAAGGTTACTTTTAAAAATATGTTCTATTAATAGAAACAATGGAACTATGAATAATTGAAATGTTTCTAGTATATATACTAATTCTTAAAAATTTTATGTATATGTACGTATCTGTGTGAGTATATATCATATTTGTAGGTGAGTATATATCATATTTGTATGGAAATCTGAAAGAGGGTGTAAGATCCAGAAATCTGGAATTGTGAGCTGCGTGATGGGGGTTCTGGGAATCAAACTCTGGTCCTCTGAAAGAGCAGTGAGCATTCTTAACCACTGAGCCATCTTTCCAGGACTAGTAATTAAAAAAATAATCTTCATTTTTGCTTTGTGTGTTTGATTGCTGTGTGTCTGTGCACCACATGTGTGCAGTGCTGGGGTGGCCAGAAGAGTGTTGGATCCTCTGGGACTGGAGTTACAGATGGTGTGAGCTGCCTTGTGGGTACTGGGAATGAAGCCTGGGTCCTTTTAACTGCTTGCTGCTCTCTTTAGCCCTAGTAGTAGAAATTCTTGAAATCATCTTTAAAAAGAATCGTTAAACACCCTTTCTGGATGCTCACCTTACGAGACTTGGATGGAGGAGGGTGGTCCTTGGACTTCCCACGGGGCAGAGAACCCTGATTGCTCTTTGGGCTGACAAGTGAGGGGGACTTGATTGGGGGAGGGGGAGGGAAAGGGGAGGCGGCGGTGGGGAAGAGACAGAAATCTTTAATAAATTAAAAAAAAACACCCTTTCATGCTTAAGGTTTTTTTTTTGTGTGTGTGTTTTTTGGAAATCTCATTCAAGGTGTTTTGATCAGATGCACCCTTTCCTTGAACTCCTCCCAGATCTACCAACCTTTCATTCCATATCCTGTAGTTGGTGGTTTTTTACTCTTTGCTCTTTGGGGACCCATTACTCAGCTCCCAGATAAACACACAGAGACTTATTCTTACTTGAGAATGTCTGGCCTTATCTCGGTTTGTTTCTAGCCAACTTTTCTTAACATAAATTATCCTATCTATTTTTTACCTCTGAGCTTTTATCTTTCCTTATTCTATATATACCTTTCTTCCTTCCTTCCTTCCTTCCTTCCTCCCTCCCTCCCTCCCTCTCTCTCTCTCTCTCTCTCTCTCTCTCTCTCTCTCTCCCTCTCTCTCTCTCTCTCTCCCTCTCTTCCTTCCTTTCTACCTCTCCTTTTTCCTTCCTTCCTTTCTTCCTTTTTCTGTTCCTGGTTGTGTAGCTGGATGGCTGACCCTTGATGTCCTGCTCTTTTTCTCCTTTTCTTGCTCATCAATCTCACATTATTCTCCTTCTATTTATTCTCTCTCTATATGCCAGCCCTGCCTATCCTTTCTCCTGCCTATCTATTTGCCATTCAGCTCTTTATTAGACCAATTAGGTATTTTAGACAGGCAAAGACACCTTCACAGAGATAGACAAGTGTAACATAAAAGAATATAATACATCTTTGCATCATTAAATAAATGTTCCACAGCATAAACTAATGTAACACATCTTCAACTAATATTCCACAACAATATACACCTAACTTTATGTTATCTTTTATTTTTTGTATATCTTTGAGGTCTAGTTTCTACTGCTCATATATTTCTGTATGTGTGGTCTTTGGCTAGAGCATGGCTAACTTATTAGGAGGTATATTCTACAAGAAAACCATCTCTGCCTCACCTAGCAGCTATCAATTGCCAATAGCTTCCTGGCTAAGGCTGAAACTTCTTGTGTACCTCCCCCTCCATGTTGGGATTTGGTTTGACTAAGTTTACACAGGTCTTGTATATAAAGACTGTCATAATTGCAGTGAGTTTGTATGTGCTGTTACCCCTGTTATGTCATGCAGAGGATAAAATGTATGGGAGTATAAAGAGAAATAATTATTTTACTAAAGATAATTTAAGTTTTGTTATCTATTTTGGTATATCAGCTTGTGTTATTATTATGGAGTTCTTGTTTTGGAAACTGTATCATTGAGGTTTCAAGGTGCAGGTTGCCTAGAAGATACAATCTTGCAGCAGATGTGCTGAACCTCTGGCTCTTATAAGCCTTCTGCCCCCCCCCGCCCCCCCTCCCGTGATTTTTTTTCCTCTGAGCCCCAGGTATAGGAGTTACATTGTGAATGTATTATTTGGGGCTGGATGCCTGATGGTTGGTCAGTTTTTCTTGGCATTTTGACCAATCATGAATCTCTGCCAAGTACAAGGACAAGTACTTAGAATACAGCTATAGATTGTATAGGTTTAGGAAAATGGCAGGGCCTAGGGTCTCTAACCTCTCTAGCCAGTGCCAGTTGTCTAGGTTTCCAGCACCTATCATAAATTCCATCCTATTGATCAGACCTGAAATCCAATTAGATAGCTGTTGGTTACCGACAAGGTAACTGTACCGCTATTGCACTATCAAGGATATTTTGTTGAGTTGGACATTATTGTGGTTCACAAGCTTACAGCTGGTGGCACCGCTGATTGCCTTTTTTTTTTTTTTTGATGGCTTACGTAGCACCTTCTGATATTGTGAGAGCTAACCTTCAGGTACAACGCTTCCAGTTGGTTCCAGCTTGAGTTAAGCCCAGTGTTTGAACTGTGTAATATGATTTTCTCTTTGAGCCAGGGCCTCTTGTAGCCTAGGCTAGCCTCAGACTTACTATGTATCTGAGGCTTGCCTTGAACTCCTGAACTTCTTTCTTTACCTTTTAAAGAGGCATGTATCACCAAACTCAGTGGTCAATAATTAACAGAAATTATGGATATTATATTAATGAATTATACAAATCATGCTTGCAGTTCTCTTTTGTTTCTTTTTGGTGGATGTGAGGGAAACATAGATCACCTACCTACTCCATCTACTGACTTAAAATTCAGCTGTCTAGAGCGTCGAATACACCCTCAGCCTTTTTGTTTGCTGTACTCGTCAGTGTGAGAACGGCTTGCCCAAGAGTCAGCCACCCATACTCACTTACTAACTTTTCTTGGACCCACAGAATTATCTCAAGCTGTGGTGGATGCGGGAGCAATTCCTCTTCTAGTTCTCTGTATCCAGGAGCCAGAAATTGCTTTGAAAAGGATTGCTGCCTCTGCTCTCAGTGATATTTCAAAGCATTCTCCAGAGTTAGCACAGACGGTGGTGGATGCCGGAGCGATTGCTCACTTAGCCCAGATGATCCTCAATCCTGATGCTAAACTGAAGGTAATAAAGATGAGGTTAAGAGACAGACAAGCCAGTGCTTTTATAGTCTAAGAAAATGAAAAGGTGTACATATTGATGATATATAGTAAAAAGAATATAGTTGAAAACATACAGATAAATTATAGTTGGTTTTTTAATATGTGAAAATAATTCTATAAGGATTATACAATAAAGATATGATTGGGATCTGTTTTGCTACTATGATAAAAAGCACCATGGCCAAAGCATTGTGAAGGAAGGGTTTATTTAGTTTACAGGTTAGAGTCCATCACCTAGGAAACCAGAACAGGAGCTCAAGGCTGGAAACTGGAGGCAGGAGCTGAAGTGGAGACCCCAGAGGAAAGCTGATGACTGGCCTGCTTTCCTGGCTTGCCCCTTTCTTATACAGCTCAGGTCCACCTGCCTAGGGATGGCACCGCCCACAGTGGGTTGAAGCCTCTTACATCAATTAGCAGCTAAGAAGCTGCCCCACAGACATGTCCATAGGCCAACCCAATCTCTTCTTCATTTAATGGTCCCCCTTCCCAGGTGACTGTGGGTTTGTGTCAAGTTGACAGCTGAAGCTGACTATGGCATTCTGTACTTGTCATCTGTGATGTATAAGCACATCACTCTAAACCATAACCTTTTCTTTGTTGTTCGTCCCCAAGATTTAACACTAATATAACATGTTAATGTGTTATAAATATAGTACAATTGCTAAAGTCCCATAATCTTTAGAAATTCCAACACTTTAAAAATCCAGAGTCCCTTAACTGTGGGCTCCTGTGAAAAATGTTACTTCTCTTATTCCAAGATGGAAAAACCAGGGCACATCAGATCAAAGCAAAACCAAACTCCAACAGTATAACTCAGTGCCTGCTGTCTCTGGTCCACTCATGATCTTCTGGTCTCCAAAGGTTCTTCTCAGCTCTGCCATCTGCAGCACACACAGCTTGTCTGCTAGGCTCAGGGCAGCTTCACTGCACACCTGCCCCCGTCCTTTGTAGTTCCAGTGTTGGTGTCTCCACTGTAGCTGAGGCTGTGCCTTCACTGATGGCCTCTCCTGGTTTCTTCAGTAATTCTGACCCTGCCACATGGTACCAAGCCTCAGCTTTACCCCATGACCCCTTCAGTCCTAAGGTTTCCACTGCAGCAGAAGCTGTGCCTTCACCAATAGCCTCCTTGTTTCTTTTCAGGGAGGCTCCAGCCCTGCCACACGATGTCATGCCTCAGCTGCTCCCCATAATTTCTTCATGCCTTCAAAAACAGCACTGCATGGGAATGTTATAAATCCTTTAAAACTACATCTGAATTATAAGGTGCACAACTGGATTCATATACTGTCTAATGTTACATTTTATTTTTGCTCGGCAGCGCCAGGTCCTTTCTGCTCTCAGTCAGATTGCAAAACATTCGGTGGATCTGGCAGAGATGGTGGTTGAAGCAGAGATTTTCCCGGTTGTACTCACCTGTCTGAAGGACAAAGATGAATACGTGAAGAAAAACGCTTGCACTTTAATTAGAGAGATTGCAAAACATACACCCGAGGTAAAAACAAACAATCAAACAACTAAAAGTTGTGCTTCAGGGTGCAATATCCTTAGTTCTAGTGAGTACCAGTGTCCCTGGCCCACTCGATGGCTGCAGTGCCCCTCTCCCAGGTGGAGACAATCAAAAAGTTCTCTGTCCATTGCTAAATGTTCTGCAGGCTGTGACATTCCCTCCAGTGAGAACTACGGAGTTGTGTTAGTGTAGTTGGAGTTTAACACCCAGCTTCTAATCACTTTTAGCTTTCCATGTCTAGGTGTAGGGGCTGTGGGCCTCTGTCATTGTGTGTCAGCTAGGAGCAAGGTTGCTTAAGACCACAGAGATCTTCTGGCCTGTATCAGTTCTGTAGATTTACATGGAAAAAACAAACACAAAGAAAGCCTGTGCTGATGCTGAAGTTTTAATCATTTCTGTGCATGTGTTGCTTAACAGTTTTAATTTTATCGCACATTAGTCCTCGTGTTTCATTTATCTTTGTTTGCATGGGACTTTCCATAATCGAAGTACACGCAGCTTGCTAGTCGTTGCCAGCAAAGGGGCAAATGGGTTAGACTGTTCTAATGTCGGAGCTTTCAGTGACTAATATTAGCTGAGTGATTAGCTAGTTACAAACTAGCTCTAATTTTAGGGTCTAGGTGAAGGATTTTAACATCCATCATACAGGCACACCTTGTTCCACTGATGTGAAGAAAGTGAACCACAGAATAAGGTTCTCACAGCGCATGTATCTGTAAACAGCCAGAGTGCTATACTTGTGTATCTTTTTAGGAAGTACAAGAGTTTCTCTACGTCATAGTTCAATTTTGTCAGTTGTATTTGAAGTCCTAAATTAAAGTGTGGTCAAGCCATATTTAAAGATCATCTTGTGTTTTATCTGGGCTTTTCCCCTCAGCTATCACAGCTGATTGTTAACGCAGGAGGCGTGGCTGCTGTGATTGACTGCATCGGATCCTGCAAAGGGAACATTCGGCTGCCCGGCATCATGTTGCTAGGTTACGTGGCTGCTCATTCTGAGAACCTGGCCATGGCAGTGATCATTTCCAAGGTGTGTGCTCTTCACTTCCGGTGGCGTAGTCAGCTGTTCTATGGTGGAATACATTGATATTCTCCATCAGAAGAGAAAATCTAACTGAGCAGGGCAAAAAAATCACCCATTTTCCCAATTGGTTCATTGTTGAATTCAGTGCTTGTTAGTATATTTCCTGCGTAAACCTTGGAGAAAGCGTGGGGAAACTGACAATGTTGTTTTACTCAGTTTCTGGAATCAATAATTATTACCACCTTTAAATATTGTTATCTGGTTTATCTGTTAAGTATATGTATTGGTGGATGAAATACGCAGTTGTAGAAAAGGAACAAATGAAAAAAATTAGTAGGTCTCTTTAGGAAATTGAACTGCAACCTAGTAATTTTAACCTTTGCCTGGTGCCATGGCCTTCTGATACTGACAGGATTTTTTTGGGGGTGGGTACTGAATTTGGGGTAATTACTATAGTATCAAAGTAGAAAAAATATGCTCACCAAGAGTCTGGAATTAGAATTTGATTTGTTTTCCTTTGATACAAAAGCTGTAATATATTTGAGGTATTCTAGGTAGTCATGGTTTTACTAGTTAGTTAACATTAATGCTTATGATATAAAATATAAGCATATTCTACTAGTATAACAAAAGGATTCATTCCTACTTAGCCATCCAAGCTTGTTAGGATGAGCAAAGCTGTAATTGAGTTGAACTAACTAACTAACTAACTAAATAAATATGTGTTACTTCAAGAAAGATATTAATGGGGTATAGTCCACTTGCTCATATTATTAAAATTTTACTCCATCATGTTGCTTTCAGAATAAATTAATGGTGTGTGTGTGTGTGTGTGTGTGTGTGTGTGTACTGATGAAGATTGAACTCAGGGTTGCACAAATGCTAGGCAAGGGCTCTTGGCTGTATTCTCAGTCCTTGGTTAACTTTTTAAAAAGATTTATTTATTTATTTTTTTGTACACGAGTGCTCTATCTGCATGTATGCTTGCACACCAGAAGAGGGCATCAGATTTCACTGTAGATAGCTGTTGAGTCACCATGTGGTTGTCGGGAATTGAATCCGGGACCTCTGGAAAAACAGCCAGTGCTCTTAAGTGCTGGGTCATTTCTTCAGGCTCCCTTTGTTAACTTTTTAACAAGGAAAAAGAAAGGTTTTCTGATCCTCAGTAGTTTTAGTTGATCACAGTAGCATTTGGGAAGTAAAAACTATTAGAGATACAAGGATAGTTAAGTTAGCTTGTTACAGATAACTAATACAGTTTGGTTCTAGCCAGTTCGTTGGCTTAAATGACAGCAGGCATTATGATGTGCCTATTTCTTGAGTCATTCGGGAGAAAGGGATGAAGGTCAATATGCCTTCTTTTGATGTCCGCTCTAGATTTACGTATAACACTCGCTCTTTGGGTCCCTGGCAGGGTGTACCCCAGTTATCAATCTGCCTCTCAGAAGAACCAGAAGATCACATTAAGGCTGCTGCCGCCTGGGCCTTAGGGCAGCTGGGAAGACACACGCCAGAGCATGCCAGGGCTGTTGCGGTCACAAACACTCTTCCAGTTCTGCTTTCTTTGTACATGGCCCCAGAGAGCTCCGAGGACTTGCAGGTCAAAGTGAGTGTTTAGTCTTTATGCTTTGGGAAGATGTGCTAGGTAGAACTAGGTTTTTTCTTAACATGTGATTTAAAGTCTTCATTTTCTGATGGATAATATGGTTTTTCTAAATCAAGAAATACAAATTAAAAATCAAGTGTGGTGGTACACTCTTACAGTCTTAGGACTCTGAAGACAGGAAGAGGGGAAGCGTTCAGCCATCTTTGGCTACAGAGTGACTCCAAACCCAACCTGTGCTACCAGAGACCCTGTCTTGAAAAAAGAAATAGAAATTTATCAAAAGAACTGAGATCACTTTCCTTTAAAAACAGATTAGTTGTGTGTTTTAGAAACACATTCTCTAAAGATATCAAGTTGTTTATAAAATTAGTGTTTTTTAGACTACATTTCTGTTGGTATTTCCTATGAAGAATTATTTTCATGCTATTTTATTAAAATTTTATTATGTTTATCTGACTATTTAAGCATGTATGGATTTGTGCACACATGCCTACCATGGTATACTTGGGGAGGCCAGAAGACATCATGTGAGAATTAGTTCTCTCCTTCCATTATGTGGGTACCTGCTGATTGAACCCAGGTTTTCAGACTTGGCAGCAAGTATCTTGACTCATTGAGCTATCTCATCAGCCCCAGATTTACTTCCTAATGTGTTTTAGTTTATCAAATGTGTCTTGTTTACTATAAATTAATTAATTGCTTTAGTAGCTTCTCTATATATTAAACTGAAAAACGAACCATTGTCAGTCCTGTAATGAGGAAGATTAACACTGCAAAATATTCCTCAAACTTCAGTTCCTTTGGGCATCTTATTGTAGGGGATCCACCATTCTCCTCCCCCTTCTCTAAAGTCTCTTGGATTATATCAACTGTTGTTTTATAGATTTAGGTTGGAGTTCGGTCAGCTCTTCTTGATTTGACAGTACTATACTGGGGAAAAGTGTATCTGAAAACATTAAGAACTGTCTTGTGATATTTTCATTTGTTATTCTGGCAAACTAGAAGTCTTTGCTAAAGTTCATTTTGTCCCAAAGGCATGCCACTATTTTAGTTACGGATTCTTTTGCTGTGATAAAACAATGGGACCAAAAGCAATTCTCCAGTTGGGAATTCTCTGTTCAGTTTAGTGCCCTATTTTATAATTAGGTTAATAAGCATTTAAAAGTCTAGTTTCTTGAGTTCTTTATATATTTTGGAGATCAGACCTTTGTCTGTTGCGGGGTGGGTGAAAATCTTTTCTCTGTCAGTGGGTTGACTTTTTGTCTTAATGACAGTGTTCTTTGCTTTACAGAAGCTTCTCAGTTTTAGGAGGTCCCATTTATTCAATGTTGCCCTTATTGTCTGTGCTACTGTGGTTATATGTAGGAAGTGGTCTCCTGTGCCCACTTGTTGTAGAGTACTTTCCACTTTCTCTTCTATCAGGTTCAGTGTGTTCAGATTGATATTGAGATCTTTAATCCATTTGGACTTGAGTTTTGTGCATGGTGATAGATATGGGTCTATTTTCATTCTTATACCGGTTGACATCCAGTTCTGCCAGCACCATTTGTTGAAGATGCTTTCTTTCTTTCATTGTATACTTTTAGCTCCTTTGTCAAAAATTAGGTGTCCATAGGTTTGTGGGTTAATATCTGGGTCGTCTATTCGATTCAGTCTCTTGCTCATGCTAGAAAAGCCTTCTACTCTATTAAAATCCCTGTATCTTAAAACTGGGTCATTTTTTGTATTTTATTATTTCTTTTATTTTTGAGATTATAATTACATAGTTTCTGCCTTCCCTTTCTTCCCCATAAACCTCATATACCCCTCTACTCTTTTTCAATTAATGACCTCTGTTTTTCATTAGTTGTTGTTATATGCATGTGTGCATATGTATATACATTAATACTCCTGAATATAACCTCGTCATCTATTCTTTATAATGTTACTCCTATATATGTCTTTAGAGCTGGCCATTTGGTATGGAATAACCAATTGGTGTGCTCTTACTCGGGGAAGACTATTTCTCCTGCTCTCAGCCTTCTTAGTTGCTTTTAGTTCTTTATGTAGGGCTGACGCCTCCTGGGCTTTCCTTGGTCCACTTTAACATGCCTATTGTCCTTGTTTGGCTGATGCTTAGGTAGTCACATTGGTGGAACTTCATGACTATAGCATCTGACATTCCTAGAAGACACAATCTCATAGTAAATTTCCCATCCTCTGACGCTTACAATCCTTCTACCCCCATTCCATAATATTCCCAAAATGTTAGGTGAAGGAGTAGAGGTATCCTTTGTGGCTGGGCTACAAACTCTGCATTTTGTTTGGTTGTTGTTTTCTGTAATGGTCTCTGTTACATAGAGAAGGTCCTGATGAGAAGAGAGGACTACACATAAATCTGAAAATTTGGAGCTCGCACCTCCAGTGAGAGAGAATATACAATGTTTGTTTTTCTGGGTCTGGGTTACCTCATTTGATATGTTCTTTTCTAGTTCCATCTATTTACCTGAAAAGTTCATGATTTCATTATTCTTTACAGCTGAATAGTATTTCGTAGTATATAGGTACCACATTTCCACTATCCGTTCATCAAAGGAAGGATACTTAGGTGGTTTCCATTTGTTAACTTTGTGAATAGGGCAGCGGGGAACATGACTGAAGTTATCTGTGGAACAGGAGTTTGAGTTCTTGGTATATATGCCAAGGAGTGGCATAGCTGGGTCATATTGTAGATGTATTTTTAGCCTTTGAGAATTGTCTACACTAATTCCCACACTGCTGCACTGGTGTGCAATTCTACCAGCAGATAATGAGGGTCCCCTATTCCCCACACCCAGTCTGGGATGTTGTTGGTTGTTTTGTTGGTCTTTGCTGTTTGAGTGGGATAAATGGGATATCAGTATTGTTTTGATTTGCATTTCCTTCATTGCTAGGGACAATGAAGATTCTGTGATGTAATTCTTAGCCTCCTTAGTTTTTTCTTTTGAGATTCCTTTGTTCAGGTTTCAGGTCCATCTTTCAAAGGGGATATTTGTTTTTCTTTTCTTTTTTGAGTTCTTTACAGATTCTGGATGTCAGATGCATAGATGGCAAAGATTCTCTCCCATTATGAGGGTTTCTTCTCCATCAGGCTGATATTTCTTTATCTGTGCAAAAGCCTTTTAGTTTTATGAAGTCTCACTTGTCAACTGCTGGCCCTAGCCATTGAGCAAATGGGACTTATCAAAAAGTCCTGCCCTACACCTTTATCGTGTAGGATTCTGTTTATGTTTTCTTCTAGTGGTTTTGGGTTTCACATTTAGGTCTTTGATCAGCGTGGAGATTTTTTTTTTGCAAGGTGATAGATATGGATCTAATTTCATTCTTCTTTGTGTAGACGTCCAGTTCCTATGACCTTTGGTTGAAGATGTTTTTTCTTCTTCAGCTTGTTTTTGTTTTGTCATATACTAAGTGGCTGAAGTTATGTGTGCTCGTGTTTGGCACTTCTATGTTGCTCCATCAGTCTGCATGTCTATTTTTGTGCCGAAACTTTGTTTTTATTCCTATTGTCTCTGTAATATATCTTAAGTTCTGGAGTAGTAATCCCGCCAGAATTTTTTTTTTTTTTTTTTTTTGCTCAGGATTGCTTTGGTGTTTTTTTTTTTTTGTGGTTCTTTATGAGTTATAGGATAGTTTTAGTTGGCACTGCATTGAATCTGTAAATAGCTCTTGCTAGAATGGCCACTTTCACCATATTAATTCTACCAGCCCATTTGCATGGAATGTCTTTCCATTTTCTAGTGCGTCTCTCTCTCTCTCTTTCTCTCTCTCTCTCTCTCTCTTAGAGGATTAAAGTTTTTATTTTAGAGATCTGTGGTAGTTTGAATGTAAGTGGTCCCCAAAGCTTTTAGAGAATGGTACTATTAGGAAGTGTGACCTTGTTTAAGTAGGCGTGACCTTGTTGGAGAGAAGTATGTCACGGTGGAGGCAGGATTTGAGTTTTCCCATATTTAAGCTATATTTAATTTAGTTCACTTCCTATTGTCTTGGATCAAGAGGTAGAATTCTCAGCTCCTTCTCTAGCACCATGTCTGCCTGCATGCTGCCATGTCCCACCATGATGTTAATGGACTAAATCTTTGCATTGTAAGTCATCCAAATTAAATGTTTTCCTTTATAAGAGTTACTGTGGTCATTGGTGTCTCTTTTAATTAGGAACCCTAAGTAACTAACATAACAATTCACTTTATGTTTTAAGATTTAACACAATGATCATATTTAACACAATGATCACTGCCAAGGTATTCTATCATTAAAAACCAGTCAAAAGTTTTTTTTTTAATGTAACTATTTGTGAAAATGTAACTACTGCAGGTTAGGCCAGTAAACTGGTTTTATATGCAGTAGGAATATAGGCTATGAATTGTTAAGATTTTATACGCACTTTGCTTTGTTTTTCAACAGAGTAAAAAAGCCATAAAGAATATTCTTCAAAAATGCACCTACCTCCCAGCCCTCGAGCCATTTTTGTATGATGCGCCTCCCAATATCCTGAAACACGTTGTTGGTCAGTTCAGTAAGGTAAGAAACATACCTGCAAGGAAGGAAAGAAAATCTTAAAGTTACTGCCACAAATAACAAGTTGGAGTTAACTAGGCAGGGGAGGATGAATTCCTGTAGTGGGAAGGCATTCTCGAGAGAAGGAAGAACACAGGCGAAGGCAAGCAATGCCACAACACCCGTGCTCTGAGTGACTACAACCGCTGCAGCTGATGACTGGTTGGTGAGGACCCAGGATGAGTACTAGATGTTTATGAGGGACCCTTCTCCCTTGTTAAAGAGCCTGCCTCTATTTTGTAGAGGTGGAGAGACTGGAGTGTAAGCTTCATGTATGCAGTGGATAGCGTTAACTTTGTTCATGTTCATTGCTTGATTCCATTTCTACAACATGAACAGTTGATAGACCTTTAAAAGGAGCTGTTTTCTTCCCATTACCCGCAGATTTGGATTACTCTGTTATAGACACACTGAGAGTAAATTCTCTACTAAGTTATTTTCAGTAGTAAAATGCTGGCTTGCGAAGGAAGATGTGATTGTCTATACATTTTCCCTTTAAGGTGCTGCCTCATGACAGCAAAGCTCGGCGGCTTTTTGTAACTAGCGGAGGACTTAAAAAGGTGCAAGAGATAAAAGCAGAGCCTGGCTCTCTCCTGCAGGAATACATCAACAGCATTAACAACTGCTACCCAGAGGAAATAGTACGGTATGGAGCTGGACTGGGATTTTCAGTAATGCAGTGTTTTCAGTAGTCAAGAGTGTAAATATGTGGACTTTGAAATTCTACACAAGGCTCTTTTACCTCATGCAAATGAAACAGATTATGTTCTTATTGACACATTCAATCAGTCTGCAATGTTGTTTATCACATGTGTATACTATTTTAATATATATTTTACTAAATACCCAAATGCAGAGTTCAAATTAAATTGCTTTGAAATTGTGAATGTCTGCTATACAGGTTGATAGATTATGACTTTCACATAAAATGGAAAAAGAGCATATTCAATAAATGGTACTGGCATAACTGGATACCAACATGTAGAAGAATGAAAATAGATCCGTATCTATCACCATGCACAAAACTCAAGTCCAAATGGATCAAAGACCTCAACATAAAACCAGCCACACTGAACCTCATAGAGGAGAAAGTGGGAAGTACACTTGAATGCACTGGTGCAGGAGACCACTTCCTAAATATAACCCCAGTAGCACAGACACTGAGAGAAACAATTAATAAATGGGACCTCCTGAAACTGACAAACTTCTGTAAAGCAAAGCACATGGTCAACAAGACAAATTCTTATAGCAAAAAAATCCCTTAAAAGATTTTATGCTAAATTTTACAAATGGCTCTTCCAATGGAAGAACTGCATATATGACTAATAAATAAAAGAAAAAAGAAATTATGGAGCATAACAAGGCTCCTTCAAAGCAACTCATAGAAGTTGCAAGCAGATCTTGATACAAACGGATCTGGCGTGATAACACCAAGCTAACCTTTGCTAAGGCAAGGTGGAAAAGTCCTTGCAATGCATTATGAAAAAAACCTGACCTATATACATTTGGGGTCGAGGATATGTTTATGCTTTTTTCACAGAAAGAAAATAAAATCTGGACCTGGATGATGTCGAGGCTGCAGACGCCCCACAGAGGACTTCCAGAGGCGATTGGAAAGAGGTCCTTGGTCTGGACTTCCCTGCCCCCAAGGAGAGAAGTGCCTCATTGGGTCCCAAGCTGCCTGACCAGCAGGAAAGAACAGCCACCAGACGAGGATTCTTCCTAAATCACGCTTTATTGGAGCCTCTTGGTTATAGGGAGAGCAGGAAGCGAGGCCCCCCCGAGCTCTGAGCTGCAGCTGCTTATATAGGGACTAGGGGTACGTGCAGGCCTCCTATTGGTCAAAGTGTCTCAGCAACCGCTCCAAGCTCCCTGATAGGTCCAGCACACTGAGGACACTGAGCATGCCCGAGATGGTGGTACTGGCTATGACCTTTTACTGCAGCCCTGCAGGAGACCTCATGTGGAGTTGTTTACTCCAGCCCTGCAGGAGACCTCATATGGAGTTGTTTACTCCAGCCCTGCAGGAGCTAGTAAAGGCAGCTGCACTACTGGCTCCCTGCAGTTCCCCGTTCTTGTTTGTCTCAAAGTCAAGTCAGAGGTCTTATTCCCCGATCAGGTCTTCACCTCATGATGTGAGGGCCGATCAAGGGAGGCCTGCGTCTATGGTATTCCTTCTCCAGTGCAATGGAACAAGATCCATGGAGGTGCAAAGGCAATACCGGAACGCAAAGGACTAGCGTACCTTCCTCGGTGCAATGGACAGAACTTCCGCGAGGGTGCAAAGGCTACGCATCAGTCACTATTGACTCTTGAGGACAGATAACCAAACTTGGGGGGAATCACCCTTCTCCAGGGCAGCCAGCGCCTGCAGCATTACCACCTTATCATGGGATGCCTGAGTCTGAAGGCGACAAATTAACCATGGGCACAGCACGCACCCTCCTATGCGGCATGCAAAAAACATCCCCACCCCCACCCAATCCTTAAACAGGGAGAAGGCAGAGGAGATCCAGGATTGCAGTCCCTCCACCAGGCTTAGATCTACGCATGTTGAGTTGATGCGCGTCTGAGGTCCTCCAGGGTGGCATCAAAGTCCTCAGACCAATTTTAGGAATGGGGTTAGGGTAGGCTGACAGAATCCCCCATCTCTGCTCTGCTCGGCTTGGGATCATCTGCCACAGGATCAGCAGTATCAGCATCCTGAAGAGCGGCGGAGTCATTTTCAAGATGGACTTCAACAGTTCTGGTCAGGTGGCTCGGGACCCAATGAGGCACTTCTCTCCTTGGGGGCAGGGAAGTCCAGACCAAGGACCTCTTTCCAATCGCCTCTGGAAGTCCTCTGTGGGGCGTCTGCAGCCTCGACATCATCCAGGTCCAGATTTTATTTTCTTTCTGTGAAAAAAGCATAAACATATCCTCGACCCCAAATGTATATAGGTCAGGTTTTTTTCATAATGCATTGCAAGGACTTTTCCACCTTGCCTTAGCAAAGGTTAGCTTGGTGTTATCACGCCAGATCCGTTTGTATCAAGATCTGCTTGCAACTTCTATGAGTTGCTTTGAAGGAGCCTTGTTATGCTCCATAATTTCTTTTTTCTTTTATTTTATTAGCCATATATGCAGTTCTTCCATTGGAAGAGCCATTTGTAAAATTTAGCATAAAATCCTTTAAGGGATTTTTTTGCTATAACATTAGTAAAATACAGTTGTGTGAATTATAGCAATGATCATCTGGGGAAAGATTATTGTTTTTGCCTTTGAATTGAGCAAAGGCAATTGTCCAGGAATCAATCTTAAAATTATCAATGAATCTATTGTTTAGTATACGAAGCATTGATCATAGCCAATATTTTGTCAAACCATCTCTCAGATTTTTTCCTATCAAGAAAATGTGGGTAAGGAAAAAACTTGCTGGAAGTGCAAACTGACAGTCACCTTTGGATCACACATAGTATTGAAAATCCCGGATAAAACAGACTCTCCCAGCAGGAAGAAAAGAATCCAAAATCTAGGACTAGCCTGTAAATATCCCAAGAAACAGGGAGTTTCCCCCTGCAGGTACTACTGTTTTAGGAACTAACTGATTATGACCCGGGGAGTGGTCCTGAGGGGCAGGGAGCCGTGCCCCCCACGACCATCAGTGGGTTTTTGAAATTTTTATGACCCTCCTGGACCATTGGGCTGTGGCCCCTTTTTAAAAATTCGTTCTCCCTGTCACTCGGGGTCAAACTCCTCCCCCGCCAACCAAGGCCACGTGTGCATGCGACCTCAGCAAGGAAGGTCTCCAGCGAGCCATGGGGGGGCATGCCATCCTGAGACCTGAGTGAGAGTCTCCCCAGCATTGGGGGTCCCCCATTATGTTTATTTTTTTAAAATTAGGCAAATATCTACCTCAAAACTTTAGCAATACTCCTCTTGGGCCTAAATACAAGGTTGTTTAACCATAAGACTATGTGCTCAGCCTTGCTTCTATGCCCTGAGGCAAGTCCCGGTGTTTGCAGCTTTGCAGACTCTCAGTGCTGCTTGGCCATGGAGCTGCCTAGAGCTCCTTGGCCTTGAAGCCACAGCTGCTCACACTCCACTGTAAACTCTGGAGGCCTTGGTAATTCGAACCAAATGAATATTACTCCCTTCCTTAGCATACCTTGTTCAGTGGCAAGATTCAGATCTCTACCAGGCTTATCCCAGGATGACACATTAAGATTGCCAGAGACGGCAAACCAAGGAGCAATTGTGTTACATTCAGTCAAAAACCTCTCCAAAGCGCTCCGTAACAGCTCGTTAAGAGCCAGAAAAATCAGGTGTGATGTTGAAGCGCCCATTCTAAAATCCTATTCTTCCTTTTATTTTCATTTTTAAACCGTCCACTTTGGTTGTGGCTATACTTTCTTTAAACCGTCCACTTTGATCGTGGCTCTGACTTTCTTTAAACCGTCCGCTGTAGTCGCGGCTCTATTACCCCCACTCTCCCTTCTTCTACTGGCGAGAGCCGAAAACCCACTTTTGTCATGGATTCCCCAGCCTTACCTGGGGACACCGGAGCTCTTCTCATGATGTCGCCGCTCCACATGTCGGGTTCTGAATCCTCTTTGGCCCCTCACTCGGTACCAAAGCTTGTCCCAGCGTCCTGGGTTTCGGCACCAGTTGCGGCGAACTCCCTGACCAGCAGGAAGGAACAGCCACCAGACGAGGATTCTTCCCAAATCACGCTTTATTGGAGCCTCTTGGTTATAGGGAGAGCAGGAAGCGAGGGGCCCCCGAGCTCTGAGCTGCAGCTGCTTATATAGGGACTAGGGGTACGTGCAGGCCTCCTATTGGTCAAAGTGTCTCAGCAACCGCTCCAAGCTCCCTGATAGGTCCAGCACACTGAGGACACTGAGCATGCCCGAGATGGTGGTACTGGCTATGACCTTTTACTGCAGCCCTGCAGGAGACCTCATATGGAGTTGTTTACTCCAGCCCTGCAGGAGCTAGTAAAGGCAGCTGCACGTAATGGCTCCCTGCAAGTTACTTTATGTTTTTATAATATTTTTTCATTTATACTGTACCTTAATTCAGAGAGCATATTCTACTGGAAAATTTACCTGAAAAATTTTCACATAAAAATTATAATTACAAAATTTATATGTGAAAAAGTGACTTATAGGTTATTCTAGGATCCACAGTTGGACAGTGAACCAAGACTAAGATGTGGAACACTGAGTTGTAAATGGATGTGTTCATTAAGGCTCTCCCTTCAGGGCTCAGAGATGTATAAGGAAGAGGAGGAAGCAAGATTGTAAGAGCCAAAAGTGATGGGTAACTGTAGATGAAAGTTTTTGTCCCACTTGGTCCCACAGCTGTTCAATCCCAAATAAACACACAGAGCCTTATTTTAGTTATAATCTGTTTGGGCTATTAGCTCAGGCTTATTATCAACTAGCTCTTACAACTTAAATTAACCCGTAATTCTTGTTTATGTTTAGTCAGATAGCTTGGTACCTTTTCTCAGTAAGGCATTCTCATCTTTCTTCCTGTGTGTGGCTTTTGACTGTGTCTTTCTTTCCTCTTCCCAGAATTCTCCTAGTCTGGTTTCCCCAACTATACTTTTTGTCTGGCTACTGGCCAATCAATGTTTTATTAAACCAGTACTAGTGGCCAATGTTTACATTGTACAGAAACATTATCCCAAAGCAGTTCCTTTTTATTCTTTTCAAAACAAGACCCTTTGTCTAATCTCCTTTGTTTAGCTTTTTTCCTGACCATTGTCCATAATACCTTGTAACCAACACACTAAACAAAGACAAACATCCATAATCCACTTTTTGGAAATGTGGGCATAGTTTTCTTTCTTTCTTTTTTAAATTTATTGATTTTTATTGAGTTCTACATTTTTCTCTGCTCCCATTCCTGCCTCTCCCCTCCCTTCAACCCTCCATCAAGGTCCCCATGCTCCCAATTTACTCAGGAGATCTTGTCTTTTTCTACTTCCCATGTAGATTAGATCTATGTATGTCTCTCTTAGAGTCCTCATTGTTGTCTAGGTTCTCTGGGATTATGATTTCTAGGCTGTTTTTCTTTGCTTTATGTTTAAAAACCACTTATGAGTAAGTACATGTAATAATTGTCTTTCTGGGTATGGGTTACCTCACTCAAAAAAATGTTTTCTAGCTCCATCCATTTGCTTTCAAGCTTCAAGATGTCATTATTTTTTTCTGCTGTGTAGTACTCCATTGTGTAAATGTACCACACTTTCCTTATCCATTCTTCATTCAGGGGGCATTTAGGTTGTTTCCAGGTTATGGCTATGACAAAAAATGCTGCTATGAACATAGTTGAGCACATGTCCTTATGGCACAATTGAGTATCCTTTGGATATATACCCAAAAGTGGTATTACTGGGTCTTGAGGAAGATTGTTTCCTAATTTTCTGAGAAATCACCACACTGACATCCAATGGAGCTGTATTGTCTGTTTTTTAAAAGCAAGATAAAGGGGCATGGGATTGTGTAGGTAGAAACGTGAGAAGGCTCTTGAATGAGTTGGAGTGGAAACTATGACCAGAACATACTGATTGAATTATTTTTCCAAATTAAAAAAGTTATTGCTGTGTGGTGGTGGCACATGCCTTTAATCCCAGCAACTGGGAGGCAGAGGCAGGCAGTTCTCTGTGAGTTCGAGGCCAGTCTGGTCTACAGAGCTAGCTTCAGGACAGACTCCAAAGCTACAACATATAAATATTTTCTGATCATTGCATTATCAATTTTAAAACTCAGATACAAAGTATTCAGTTTCTCATGTAGACCAGCTGTTTGGAGTGTTCCTTAGCTTTGTGTGGACAGTGGGTACCATACTAACCAACATAACTTAAAAAGATCATAGAAAATTTGCCTCTTGTAGTTATATAATAAAGTATCTGTTTACATCAAAAGCACTTATAAGGGGCATAGGAGATTGAGGCAAGCTTTAAAATTTGTACTAACTCAGACTAATAAAGAAATAATTGGGGACCCTTAAGTGCAAGGCTGCATGAAGGAACCCACTTCTGAAAGCCATTTTTCGAAGTAGAAGGCCTTGTGAGAAACATTCTTTAGATGTGTGTATGTTATGTTTAACCGTGACTGTGTATAAGGATGTTACTGAAAAAAGAATATAGCTATTGATTTTTATCATGGTAATTTAACAAATTATGGAGGAAATTAGTATAATATTATTCACAAATTTTTAAGTAGGCATAGGTAAAGTTAGCTGAAAGCAGCCAAATCAAGTCCAAACCAAGATAAAATGTTAATGTTTTATGAAATGTTCAATTTAAAAATGTAATTCATATCACTATGTATATATATGTGTGTGTATGTATCTGTGTATGGGTATATGTATGGACATTGATATATGGACATAGCTTATATTTTAATAATTTTAAAAGTAATTTGTGAAATAGTTATTTAATGTTAATTGTGACCAGATATAATTAAAATATATATTAAGAAATTCTTTGTTGTCTCTAAGCGTATGCATAAAGCATGTAATGATTAAGACCATACATCAAGTTTTACTTATATTATTTCAGCAAGTTCTTATGTAGACTTTCTTGAGTTCACCTTTGAAAATTTTCCCTATCTAATAACAAATTTATTTTTTCAGGTACTATTCACCTGGATACTCGGATACTCTTCTACAGAGGGTGGACAGCTACCAGCCACTTACCAACTGAACAAACCGTACTTTTATCTTCCTCAGTTTCCCAGGAGAGTATGAATAGTGATTGTTAAAGTTCTTTGAAAGTACACTCTAGCTGTGTTCAATGCAAGATACCTTTGGATAATGTTTTCTAAATGTATGTAGTAGTTTAAGAATTAGTAGCTGGAATATATGAAGGGCTAGTCATAGTCAGTGCATGCATAGGGATTTCTCTAAAGGTAGTCTTGAAGACATTAAAAGGTTTAACACATTTGTTATCGTTCTGCTGAAAACCACATGTAAACAGCACAGACATTATCTCCAACCAGCTGAGAAATGCCGCCCAACAGTGCTTAGGCTATTCTGGCCATTTTCTCACACATAGGCAAGGAAAACTTGCCTTTCAAGTTACGTAAAAGCATCTAGAAGGAAAAGAGCTGAAAGGTGACCCTGATGACAAATAATGTAGAATTAGGAGCGGCGGGGCTGCGTCCCCAGCACCCAGCCGCCCGCATGGCTAGGTTATGCCCCGAAATAATTACACGGAAACTGTATTTTTTTAAACACTGACTGGCCCGTTATCTGTAGCCTCTTATTGGCTAGCTCTTACATATTGTTCTAACCCATTTCTAATATTCTGTATAGCCCACAAGGTGGCTTACCAGGGAGTATCTTAACCTGCGTCTGTCTGGAGTGGGAGAACCATGGCGACTCTCTGATTCAGCTTCTTTCTCCCAGCATTCTCTTCTGTTTCCTCCACCCACCTATGTTCTAACCAATAAAATGGGCCAAGGCAGTTTCTTTATTATAATTAACCAATGTCCTTCCTCCATCATTTCCCCTTTTTCTGTTTAAACAAAAAAAAGACGGCTTTAACTTAACATAGCAAAATTACATATAACAAAATAGTTATTAAGCAAGAATTACAGTTACAATATTTATATCTATTTTATCTTTTATCATAACTAAGGAAAACTATAGCTATCTATTTATTCTTCAACTCCATCAAAGACTCCAGAAGGATATAATATTACCTAAGCAAATAAGAAATAAACGACAGAGACATCTTGCTGCCTGGACAGTCACCCAAAGTTCTTTTGTACTGTTGGGGCATCCATCTTCGGCCTACAGGCCCAT